TGTTTTCATCCATGTGTTTGGTGAAAGAGAGGCGAGCGCGCTATTCCGCCATAGGTCGTTTCACCGCAATTATTCACATGGCTAGCCATGGAAATTTTTACATTGATAGACTCATTGCTGGAAATGAACTGATGTGATTGGAAATGATTCAAATGATGATGAAAATCCTTTTTTTTTATGAAATGAACCGCATTTTATTGAAATTGTACAAACAACTGATAATAATAGAAGCAGAAAAATAATTCCAAAAGGAAATTCGTTGCTAGGAATATTATTTCTTTCAATTAATTAAATACACCCCGGACTACCCTTAATTCAATTTTCTTTAGAAAAAATCATAACTCCTTGCAGAAACACATTGCTGGGAGTATTATTTCATGAAACCATCGAATTCAGCGAGCTTGTTAACCCCTGAAGGGCCGCTGATTTAGTCTCGCGAAAGAAAACCTCCGACTTCCCTTAATTCAATTTTCATAAAAAAAAATCATAAGTCCTTGCAAAAATACATTGCTGGGAGTATTTTTTCATGAAACCATCGAATTTCGCAAGCTTGTTAACCCCAGAGGGGTCGCTGATTTGGTCTCACGAAAATACACCCCCTTCTACTCTTAACTCAATTTTCATTAGAAAAATCATAACTCCTTGCAGAAACATATTGCTGGGAAAATTTTTCCATGAAACCATCCAATTTGGCATGCTTATTAACCCCAGAAGGGTCGCTGATTTTGTCTCACGAAATTACACCCCTTTCTACCCCACATTGAGGAAAATTCACCAATAAAATATCGTAATGCGAAAAACAAAAACTCAATTGGATGGTTTAACTACGACTTCATAATTATTATCCTTGAGGTTAACAAAATTCAGATGATTGAGTTAACCTATTTTTGTATATATGTATATTGTACGTGTTCATATTTAGTGCTGAATGTATTACTCCTTCTACATAGTTCTTTTTGTAATTGTAGAATCGGTGTTCTTCTTAAATTTCTGGAGGTTGTATGCCTAGGGAAACACCTTCCTAGGCAGTGAGTTCCAAAGCCTCGCTGTTCGATGGATTAACGAGTCTTTGAAGAGAGATGTTCTGCAGGTCTCCAAGGTGACCACAAAGGGGTGTGAAGATTGAACTTTATGGGTCAGTCTCGAAGAGACAGCTAAAGGAGGAACAGTTGTTGATATTTCACGAGAGCATCGCCCATGAAAATATCTATAAAACAGAGACATATCGGCAAATTTTCTACGGTGTTCCAGAGAAGTGAGCGAGTTCGTTAGAGAGGCATCACCGACGAACGGATTGCCCTTTTTTGTACAGAGTCCAATAGTTTCAGATATGGGAACAGTAGTCCAGGACAGGTCGAATCTGTGCCTTATAGATCATAAGCAGCTGACGAGAAGTGAAATAGCTCTTGGCACGAAACAGAAAACCAAGTTTTTGGGATACACTCTTGGCAATGGACCTTACGTGATCCTCCCAAGAAAGGTTATTGCTCATAGTAATGACAAGCATGGAAATGGATGACTTCAATGCTATGGTTACTCCTCACAAGATTATGCTTGCACAGTGGGATCAGCCCTTCTAGAGAAAAGACATGCCTGTGTCTTGTTTGCATTAAGTTCTACCAGAATATTAGATCCCCATTCGAGAACTGTTGCCAAGTCCATATTTATGTTGTTAACATTTCTTCGTCGTTCAATTCTGGTCTCACAGGCTGATATAGGAGCCCTGGAAGAGAAAACGGTATGGAGGGTACTTAGCATCCGCGAAGCTGTGTACTGGGCACGAAGTTGCTTTTTTGAAGAATGTAGGTGCGTGTTAGGTGTTTTAAGAATTTTCCTGTTTTCAAAAAATGCATATTATTCCAAAAGGTTAAAATACCAAGTTTCAAATGTTTATGTTTTATCTAACCATATACTATAAAGTTGAATAGGACCTATCCTAATTTAGAACAATACATATCTTTTGAAAGCAATCCCCGATGGATGTGGAGCGATATACTTATTTATTATAGACATAAAAAAAGTCTGCTTTAAAATGCAAAATTGTTGATGAAAGTTTTACACACTACATTATAATTTGATTTCTAGATATTTTTTTCCAGAAGAACTTATCTGCTCTCCTCGTCCGAATTTGTTGCTAATTCTTTACAATATGATATTTTATACCAAATACCATATTTTTAATGATAGGATATTATAGGGAAGTGAAATATATTATTTTATAGTAGTATACATAATTCCGTTTTTATTAACTTGTGATAAGAAATGAACTTTTTTTTCATTATATCAGATGCATGTAAAATTCATGAACACATATGTTACACTATCAGTATAATTCTTGAAGTAAATAGACACTTGAATGGATTTCTTGGTTACTATACTATATCCATCCAACAAGGAGAGTATTCAAAACAAAGATAGACGCGTGATAGAAGCGTCAATACTAAATCTATTGGTTGAAATAAACACGCCTCCTTACGCTGGCTAATTAGAATCAACTGTAATCGACTGGCGGAATTCGCGCCACAGAGTCGGAGTGGTCAGTTATTTTAAAGCCTAAGGTGATGTGTATATATACGGTATTTTAATGTTAAACATTTTTAAAATGTCAAGTAATGATACGTCTGAAGAAGCTGCTAACTTTTGCCCCTAAACTCATCCTGAAAACACATGAAAAAACTGCAGCTTAAAAAATAAAATTTTGGTCATTCCTAAGTGCGACTCTGTTTTGAAGCACTCCTTTTGTTGGATGGACAGAGTATAGGTAGTTATGAATGAACTTTCAATGTGTTTTCGCAAGGAGTTATGATTTTTTTTAATAAAAATGGAATTAAGGGTAGTCGGGGGTATTCTTCCGCGAGACTAAATCAGCGACCCTTCTGTGGTTAACAAGCTTGCTGAATTCCATGATTTCATGGAAAAATATTCCCAGCAATGTGTTTTTGCAAGGACTTATGATTTTTTTAATGAAAATTGAATTGGGGGTAGAAGGGGGTGTATTTTCGTGAAACAAAATCAGCGACCCCTCTGTGGTTAATAAGCTTGCGAAATTCGATGGTTTCATGAAAAAATACTCCCAGCAATGTGTTTTTGCAAGGACTTATGATTTTTTTTATGAAAAGTGAATTAAGGGTGGTTGGGGGTGTTCTTTCGCGAGACCAAATCAGCGACCCTTCTGAGGTTAATAAGCATGCCAAATTCGATGGTTTCATGAAAAAATATTCCCAGCAATATGTTTCTGCAAGGGGTTATGATTTTTTCTAATGAAAATTGAATTAAGGGTAGAAGGGGGTGTATTTTCGTGAGACAAAATCAGCGACCC